AATCCGTGAATCCGCGAATTTTCTCCGGTACAGATGGATGGGCGCACTCCGGCATGGTGTACCCTTGCCGCATGTTGGTTGTGTGCGTCAGCTAGATTCGTTCAGCTGTCCCTTTTGCCTGACATAGGTACAATGCTGTAATTGAGCANTCAAGGTCTTCCTAGCATAATTCGCAACTTATAATAGAAAACTCTACTTGTTGCTAATAAACATGCAGTACATTTTGCAAATAATAAACATGGACTACGGATTTTCAACTGGCAACAGGAATAATCGACCAAAATTTGCTTTCAGGGATGAACCTGCGCATATTTTGCATCCCCAAAAGCAATGTAAATTCTAGAATTTTCAAGGAATTATTTCAGCTGGAAAACTCTCTGAAAGTTTCGTCCATTGTGAGTCAACTCTTTCCACAATTCGAGCTTTTTTATTACATTACACTCGGTGGCATGTATTGACCTTGAGGATTCGCTGACCTGAGTAAATCGTCATGGTGGATGATTTTCAATAATGCGGGAACATTTACATTATACATAGACATTCTACACTATGAAATGGCAAACCTGAAGATGCCATAGCTTTCGAGAAATCAATTTCATCGAGCGAATACTTATTGTCCCTTAGTTATAGCCCCGCAAGTTCAAAGTTGAGTGCACGCAAATATTTAAGAAGAAACATTGAATAAAACAGATTCCCGCAGAACGATAACTATTGGGGTGCGGCGCAGCCGTACTAGTTTGGGCATAACCGCACATGTATTGGATAAACTCCGTTACCTGTTAGACAACATCGACGTCAGCCGAGCCTTTATTCTGACTGTATCGTAATGATCGCGCCTGACAGTGTGCCACCAACTGGGTGGTAATAACCACTATCATTCATATTAGATTTGGGCGGACAAACAGCACGTACAGAATATCCTAGTGACACTGTACGATGGATGCGCGCGGTTGCCGATGGTTGCCACAACATATAACGGCGGTCTTTATATAAAGCGTAACGTTTCATTGTCAGAGTAGCTTGTTGCATCAGACGACCAGTGGCTTCAAAGTCTACACTACTCTGTGCTTAGCAGTGATTTCCGTTCGTCGTTGGGTTCAGGCACATGATTATAAAGACAAGGAAGTGAGTTCTTATAAGGAGATTTCGTCATCGGCGCACAAATTTGCACTTCAGTGGGTTATGCCATGACAGGTGCCGCTGATTTACGGGAGTAACAGACCGACCACACTCAATGTCTACTGTAGCTTCACAACGGCAGCACAAGTGATGGAAGGATGCCGATAATCAGTCGCAAACTTGTGAGACGCAGTTCACCCCATTGGCGTTTTTGTCACCATAATTACAGTTGTCCTATAGAGAATACTCCGGAAGTTTTTCTGGTAGAAAAAAGTTACACTGGAAAGCAAGCTAAAATGCAAATGAAAAGACTAACCCTGTGAATAATTTTTCCCTTATTATTTTCGCGAAATCACTCAAGTAAACCAAAGCATTTGATCAAATTACCGAAAAATAAATGGGTACCTAAGGCTATTCTCCCAAAAATTTCCATGTACTTCACTGATAGAAAATCCGGTACCAATGTGGAGTGATCGTAGTCGACCCCACGGCCGTCAGTGAGTGTACGACGTGTTGGTCAAACAGTTACTGCCCCGAATAAATTTGTCTATATTGGCCAGCAAATCAAACATCAAAATCAGTAGCTGTGTTCACAGAATGATGGCAAGCTCAGAGCCAAAAGTACCGCATTAATGGGAATCATCCAATAACGATAGCATCAAAGCCACCAAACGCCGACATACACATTTCAATTTGTCATCATGCTCTCAGCGGTGGGCGATACATCGGGAAGTCTGTCACCAGTAGCCGAAATCAGACATGTAGCATAGGGCTAAGAAGAGTGTGTTTCCAGAAACACGACGTGAGTAAATAGGAACCGAAAATTTACAGTCACACTACCTGATCATTGCTAGGAATCAGCGTTCAGAGCAGCCGGTTGCTATTCGAAAAGGCTATTTCGCTCATCAGTGGAATGGAATTTCAGTCATAGCGGCCTGAAACGTTCTTTCCGATAGAGCAGTATTTTTCAGAATGACCGATGCATGGGATGAACAAATTCTACGCTCAACTGTCCGCTGGTTCATTGAAAATATCCAACCTAATCAGACACCACAGTCCCAAAAGAATAGACGGAAGCCATACCAGGGCCAACAATCTGCCGTTACTGTCCACTCCACTTTCCTCCGGTTAGACTAGAATCCCCAAGAGGCTGCTGCTCTGCTGGGTCTGCGAGAAAGAGTGAACCAATCCTGTTCCGCATGTTGACTTATAGTGGACCGCTTACTCAGTTCGTTGACCTAGGCGCGGGATTTGAGTTCGCTTGTCGATGAGATGTAGGCATTTAGTTTTGTCTTAGTTTTACCCTTTATGTTTAGGCCAGCTGATGAAAAGTCAGTGTTATCGTTCATCTGTCCTCGTATGCTGTCTTTTGGGACGGTTGAGGGGTTTCGTTTGTCTTTTGTTGACCGGAACCTTTTGGCTGAATTCGAGGCGTGCGATAAGAACATCGCAATTTGCAATGAGTTAATGAAAGTTTACCTCCGGCTGAAGCCTTTGAAACGGTGTCATACTTATAGCCCAACGGTATGCTGATTTATTTTCACACCAATTACCTGCAGCCTGCCGTTCGGTGTGTCAATCGGCGAATGGTTGAGGCAGTCCCGCCTGATAACCAACGGCTCGGTGTACGTGACAAAAAGGCATCACACACGTTCACGTTTTCACATGTTTTCGATTCGGAGTCTACTCAGTCCTCGGTGTTCTCAAGAGTTGCTGTTGATCAGGTCCGGAACTTCCTCGAAGGGCTTAACGGGTTGCTGTTTGCTTACGGAACCACGAGTTCTGGGAAAACGTACACGTTGCAGGGTACTGTGATTCTCCTCATAAAATTCAATTTTTCTCTCTTCAGGCCCTTTGGGAGATATGGGCATTGTTCCACGAACTTTCTGTGCATTGTTCCGTTCGGTCAAACACACAATGAACCCGTCGCTCATGCCGAAAGACTTTTCGGACGTCACCGCTCTAAGCGCACACGAAGTCGAGAAGGTATTAAGAGATAAGGCGACCGTTATAAAGCTTTCAAGTAGTTTATCTGAGGTGAGAATACCTTTGCTGTATGTTCTATGTTGGTAGGACGTATTAAATCTAGAGAAGGAAAGCCTCGATTCGTTTGTCAGCACATGTGTTTTGGACGAACCACAACCGGATCTTGAGGTGACACCATTTCCAGGAATGGATTCCAGTGAACGCATTAGGTTCAATAACGATCTGAGGTTTGCTTTTTGGATTAGCTTTGCAGAAGTCTACAACGAGCTGGTTTATGACTTACTGGATCCAGTTTATTGTGTTTCTACAATATCAGCTGCGCAACAGCCCAACTCATTGCGCTCGTGCTTGACTGCAGTGCCACAGAAAAACATCTTCAGCACGATTCCGCCTACAGGAGCCACGGAATTCTCCGCCAATCTTCGTAAGAAAGCACTAGACTTGAGGACGGATAAAAATGGGAACGTTTTTATCAAGGGTAAGTCTTCCATGCACACTGATGGCCTCAGTTATGGTAAGGAATCGGAGGCATTCTCAGTGCGCATCTAGTGATGATGGACCCGGCGAAGGGTGTACTTGTTTTGTTCTATTCATGCCCCGTTGGGTCGAATTAATTAGCTTTCCAGACGTGCCTGGTCTGCCTAAGGATTTCAACCTGACAACTGAGTCGAGTAGGGTCTGCTAATTTCCTGTTGTGGAAAAAACAAATGAGCTATGACTGGCTTTACCATTCATTGATTCGTCGGATAATTCGGTATCATTATCCGCGAGAGAAGTTAGAACAGCTGACAGTTCAAAATGTGAACTGAGTTCTGGATTGATGAGTGTTGTATAAGGGTGAAGAATACTATATGTAATGTATGATGGTCCAAGTGTTTCGGGAGGCGGACGGTTAAACTGAGAAACTGCCACCTTGGTGTTGTAGTCTGATTTGAGTACCGTAGTGATCCCACGGGCTACTCTAGCCATTTCAGGAAGGCTGCAAAGGAGGAACCAACTAAAGCGCGGCCAGCCCTAGCAACAATTCATTTAATCAGAGGGCCATTTGTTGGCAAAGTCTTGCGACGGATTTGTTGAGCCAACTGAATATTTCTTGCATATGACAAGCATGCATTTGTTGACGTATGATCCGTTGCACAACTCCGGGAACCGCACACTCCGTTCACCCAACGATCGACCGTGACCTTTGGTTAAATTCAGTAAAACAGCTTGGTACGCAGCCGTTTCGCACAGCATGATGAGTGGGACTGTGTTCTATTTGACGCACCGTCCGGCTAGGTCAGTTTGCAGCCAAGCGGGTCAAACCATTCAGCTTGGTACGCAGCCGTTTCGCACAGCAGGATGAGTGGGACTGTGTTCTATTTAACGCACCGTCCGGCTAGGTCAGTCTGCAGCCAAGCGGGTCAAACCATCCGGTCATTGGCTTTTCTGAGAAAACCCTCTAGTTGCCGCCTCGTGGGACAGACTCGACTCGTTAGCCGGGCACACCCAACAAGCACTTATACTCCGACTATAAGTGCTTTTCGGGTGTGCCCGGCTAACGAATCAAGTCTGGTGAGATGTCTCAGGTGGTTAGAGTACTAATATACTGGTCGGAAGGTCTGTGGCTCAAACCCGACCTCTGCCTCTTGACTTCTGTCTAGGCTTGGGCAACCTGACAGTATCACAGCCCTCGTGCTTCCCTTTGTTGGTATGGTAGCTAGGCACCGGAATGGTGTTGCATCCGGATGTTTTCTTATACTCCGACTATCCTGCTCTTCTGACTCCTGACTCAAAGACTGGGTAGGGTAACCCAACTAAACCCACTCAGTGGACCTGGACAGCTGGCAATCGTCGTGTGTGTTGACAGTTTACCGGTCTCTGTTGATAGCTGCCCATTTTCGATTGCGCCCTGTCCTACAAGTGGATGTCGTCAGATTGATTGTTAGCTGTATGATCAGTGTGCCTTACAGAACTCGTGACCAGCTGACGTACATGGGAGACTTCACCGCCAGTGGAGCGAGATGGCTCAGGTGGTTCGAAGCCGACCTGTCTCTCAACTTCCCCTGTCTATGCTTGGACAACCTGGCAGTATCCCAACCCTCGTGCTTCCTGCTGGTGGCATAGCAGCCAGGCACCGAACGGGTGCAACAGCTGGGCGACCTATGTATCAGTGCCCATATTCTGTCAAACTGGATAACAAGTAGCATTTGCTGGGATCCTGTACTACCTTTAAGTTGATGTATGGTCTGTTAATCAAATACGCACACTAATCACTTGGAACGAATTCTGCTTTTATACATTTTACCCTCCAGGTGTCTTGAACGGTGGATCATTTTATGTATGGTGTAAATGTTGCACTGCGCCCAGTTACTAAAGGTATTTTTTTGGATTGGATTCGGCTGAGGAATCACGCTTACTTCCTTCGCTTACCATGCCTAATTGAGCTCAACGCCATGACGTTGAGACCGGTGCTTGTTTCTGACTGAATGCAGGTGCTAAGGAAAAACTCTGCATTTACCGTACTGGTTTTCTGTACTGATTCGATTGAGATGAATGTCTGGGTTGGAACTCGGGGTAACTTAGTCGTTAAGTCGCGAACTTACTGAGCCGAAGGCCCGTGGCTCGAACCCAAGCTGGCATCTGGACTGCTACTGTCTAGGCTTAGGCGATCTAGCGGTCCCTTAGTCCCGCTGCTTTCTTCGGGTAGCATGGCAGCTATGCGCCAAAAGTGTGCATAGGGTGGGCGATGAGCTTTCAGGTGTCAGGGTCGGTCAGCTGAGCCCTGTGATTGATTCGGAGTCGATGTCCGCCCAGCAGACAATGAGGAAAGGCTGAAGTTGTGCTCCGATCACCAATCCTAACACGTACGCTGGCACCTTGTAACATGGGGGCCACCAAGTCCAAGTCATTGTGGGTGCCGGTGGATCTTGTTGCTACCAACTGCCGGTGGAGAACTACGATTTGGTTGACGTTCTTTTTGAAGCACTTAATTCGACTCCGACCTCACCATACTAAACAGTTCGCGGTTCGCTTTCTTTCAATTAGCAGAATTCGATAATACATACGTCAATCCATCATGCGAGCACTAAGATAGCCCAGTAGTATTGGGCTGAGCTAGCTCAAGTGCTGTTTGTAGTAAGCTAAAACGATATTGGTGGTATTGGTGGAGGAATGAATGGGGAGTTAGTCCAACGGTATTCAAAGCTCCGTGAGATTTCTCTGATACAGTGAAATGTCCACTGTATATCGTCTGGATTGCCCTTCCTTATCAGTGAGCAGAGAGTGCGGTGGCCCGCAAACTCCTTAAACGCTAAATAAGAAAGCTTCGGAGGAAACAGTGCTAATAAACAGAAGAAAAAGGCTTTTGTCGCCGGAAACAACCATACCTTCATTAGGTCGACCTGTCAAGGAATGCAAGTTTCTGCAAAACCATTTATGAAACCATGATTCACTGGTGCACCCAGCACTTTAAACGATAGATTCTCTCTACTGAAGATAGCTGGTTTGAATATTATCTCAGCGGAGGGGAGGCAGACTGCGCAATGTTTATATTATGGCCCTTAATGGGACTATACCCATTCCCTTCAAATAAGATTTTGGCAACTTACTAACTTACTTGGTGGGGCTCGTTCGTTCTAGTTGGAACAAAGAAAAAATGCTTGCAGTATGTGTTCTTAACGTTTTACTCAATCTACAAAAGTTTCTCTATTCACTCCAATTTGTCAGCTATATACCATGTACCGTTTCGGCCGAGAAAATTGGAGATAGGGGAAGATGTAACCATGTGTTGGAGGCGGTAGGGTAATATGGTCGGTCGGTTGGTCGGCCAGATAGTCAGTTTTTTAACTAAAATACTTGCAACGAAGTGCAGTGGCTCCAGCTGCCACAGCTCCGTTCACTGAGGATAAGGCGGATAAGTGAAAGAAAACAGCGCATTGGATGCGATGGTCCAATCTGCGCAATGAAAACAAATAGGTCCGTTTGTCTAGTGTAATAAGAAGTGAAAGCTACGCAATGAAAGTGATAGATTCATTACAAGAGCACCATTGGCTGTAACACCGATGTGTCTATCAGGGTCAATATCACCTGTTTGTTTCTCCATGTGGTCCTCATGCAGGGTGACGGCAATTGCTAAGTTGCCTGGTGGGGTCTCTCATCCTTCGTTGCCAAGTTATGGCGTGACCGCATGTAGATCGTCTCCATCCGACACCAGGCTGGGCGAATATGGCTGTACGGGACAAACCATCCTATGGCTTACCAAGCACTTTGCCTTGTTAGTGTAACCTATGAAGTGTGACCAGCTGATCTATCGAGGGAGAGTCAACTTTCCCGTGGCTATAGCTGCCACAGTCGACGGTCGACGGGCATACGTAGGAGGTGACCAGGCCAGCGCAACCTAAGGAGTGTTCTCGATTCACCTATCGTGTGAAAGTTAATTCTTCCAAAGACCATTCAACATACTTCAGCACTGCTGACTCATTGCAGACTCAGACAGCGCCCAAAATGGTGACCAAATCGAAAGTTTTTTGACGTCCTTAGGGCACAGTGTTTGGCTTTTTGACCCGTAAAATAATATGGAGCGCACCGCAACATTGTAAAATTGACCCTTGTAAAACGACCCTTGTCACGCCTACGCCATAGTTGATGCAGGTTCACGAGGGCTGCTCTGGCCTTCGCACTCCGGATTGAAATCCCGGCACTGATACAGCTGCCAACGTACACAAATTTGTCTGCTACCTCATTCGCTAGCATGAGATTAGGGTTCGAGCCCAACCAGTCATGAAGCAACACTTTGCAGGCGTGAAGCACATGCCAAACCGTGAGACAGTTATCTACATTGCTCAATAATGTTTTTATTAGGACGGCGTCTGCATGCTCGATATCTGTGAGCGAATGCCTTTGGTGTATCTGGATCCCATAGACATTTGAAGCTGGGGATGAGCGTTCCATAAGATGGCGAAGTTCAAAAGCAAAGGCGAGAGTACAGCCTTACCTGATACGAATCGATGTCGTGAACTCAGGCAATAGCTTCCCGTAGAATTTCACACATCTTTTGGAATTGGCGTGCAGTGCCTTAATTAGAGCTGCTGTTCCGGAATCTGTCGAAAGGTGAAAATGTGATCCGTAGGGAAGATACTTGGTAAATCCAGTTTGATCGACTTACCAGTGAGCAAGTCTGACATGCGCGAATGCCACTGTAAAAGAGGATTAGGTGTGCGATGATGCTTCTGGCCTACCTGACGGGGATGTTCATAACCTATGAGCTGTTTGTGTGATTGGCTACTGTGAGAAGTAGCACCGGAACGCTAGTCTGTTGTCCAAAGAACCGCCCAACAACAACCACTCGGAAGGTGAGCTTCCACGACTGCGCTTACTCTGACCTATGTTTAGTAGTTGAATAGGTTCCAAGTCTTCATTTTCCCATTAGCGTCAAGGTGGTTTTTTGCTTCCTTCTGTTTCGAAAACCCTTCCAATAATGACTTACACATTTAACTTGTTTTACTTCACAGGTCTGCGAATCTACCCTGTCTCCTCAGCCGAAGAAGCACTACGGCTTGTTTTAGTTGGTCGACAATGTCAGAAAGTGGCCGCAACACGTCTCAATCTAGCCAGTTCTCGTTCGCACAGTATCTTAACAATCAAGGCTGTCAGGGTCGTGGATAAAGAAAATCCTAAGTTCGCACGGATAAGTAGTTTAACGTTCTGTGATTTGGCTGGAAGCGAGCGCACTGAAAAGGCTGCTACAGGAGGACAAGCTGTACGGGTTCGTGAGGCGGGAAATATCAATACAAGTCTCCTGACTTTAGGAAGGTAATGTGTTTCACTTCTCATGGGCTATCGTCCTAGTTGTCACCGTTGCTGCATTTTTTAAGCTCAGAAAGAAGCTATTTGTTCTCTTATATATGCTTCGGCTTTCCCATGTTTTTTTGCTTTAATGTGACATCCACTTCTTCACTAGAAAACGTTTTCTGATTTCTCAACATGCTTGTCTAAGTCTTTAGGAATGGACACCATAATCGATGTACTCTATGATATTTGTCCAGGTTTTTTCGACGATTAATGCCGTTAACAGAGGTAACACACTGATCTGTCATACCTACAGACTACCCTGACTTAGCCGATTATTTAGCACAAGCCACTATTGTTGGAACGTTTCATAGTCACACTGCTAGATAATGCTAAATGGTAAGTGGGATCTGCGCATGATAATATATCATCATCCCCATAATTGGCAGTAACAAACCAACGACACGTACTGCAGCTTGACTGCCATGCAAATATGAGGAAGAAGGCCTCGGTAAAGACTTGAAATAAAAGGGGCTCAGTGCGAAAACGTTCTTAGTTCCCAAAGGAAATGAAGAATGTTTGCACTTTTTTCTTTATAGAACACTTAGAAGGCCGTTGGAGATTTTTCGACAGTCTGCTGCAGAAGAATACCATAAAGTTGAGATCCAGCTGGGACTCATTTGAGTCTCCAGTAGTTTTCAACTGATAGTATTTCGTCATGGTGTATACACCGCTTGCGAACCCCACCCTACGTAAGCCCAACGCGCAACGACAGGTGCGCTGCAGCTAGAGTCCGGCGAGGAAAGAACAGAATGTGCATCACTGGGATGGTTTGTATGCCACATGCTGGAGGGCTTTCAGGAACGTGTCAGCAGGACCACATGAGTCCAAACCAGGAAAGTGTAAAGACCTCACATCATTTGGCTTGAGTGTAGCCACCTTCATTTTGCGTTGTCATTTCATAGCCTGTCACCACGAACATCTCGTGATTAATACCATGAGACAGAAAACAGCGCTTTCTTGGGTAGAAGATGATTTAGTATACGTAATATGCGCCCCAACCAATTTAACCTGGTAGGTTAAATCTGCCGCTCTAAGGTCTTCGATTCGTTACGAAACGCCCTCGTGTGAACTACTCTGTTGTCTACTCGCTGAAACCAGCTAACTCCTGCTATTCTATAGTGACACCGGTGACCGGCAGTTTGGGGATGGCTAAGGCCCTTGGATCGGAGGAGCCCAAGAATCGCAACCTTAGAGGATGATTGCTCTTACGGTCGCCTTGTATACACGACCCCGTAGCTTTAATGAAATTCGTTTCTGGAGCCATAATTGACACCACATCGTCTGTCTCGTGGTGAGGCCGCATATAACAAAGTGGATAAGCGGAAACACGCGATTTTTGACGCCTTTCATCTTTCTTCACTATCTCTTAACTCCCCTCCTGGCCTACATGATGATCACTCTTATTTAGACCCCAGCTGTAATCATTTCAGTCAGGCACTTTTGGAATCGACACGTTGCACGCTCACATCTACTGCTCCTTGTCCGCTATTCGTGCTCTGTCCAGCATTAGTATTTATTACTGGCGTGATAATAACTCTCCGTACATGCACCACCCTTTAACTCTGAAGGACCTAGTCACACAATGGAAACAAAATAACTCACCCCTTGAGAGGGACCTTTCCGTTATCAGATCGTAATCCCAGTTAGCACGTACTAGTGTTTCCCCGTCAGGCGTGATTTAAGATGCACCCTTTCCAAAAGAAAGTCCATCTTTCTCGGAAAAGGCCAAAATGACCTTTTTCGCGTGGTGCAGTAGGCGGAGATGCATGTGGGCCCTGTCGTGCCTGATAATGTAATGATGATTGTCTTGGTGATTTGACAAGGACAATTTCAGTTGTCATTTTGGTAAACGAAACAACCATGCTAAATGCTCTCAAGATCTACAGTAGTATAAACGCATTCGTTGTCCTCCAGCGGATTTTTGTGTCTAATGGCGCTTTACCGTCCCTCAGCGACCTCCCATTTGTCTCAAAAGAAACGTTGGCATATATTGTTTGCTTATCAGATAGTCCATCACCCCGCTTGTATTATGTCCGTTTACACAGCACTGTAATAGGGTTGAGTATTTCACATCACTTCGCATCGCCTCGAGATAGCTCAGCGGTTAGAGCGCAAATTTACTGACCGGAAGGTCCGTGGTTCGAAGCCAAACTCAGCGTCTCGACTGCTTCTGTCTAGGCTTGAGCAACCTGACAATATCTCGGCCCCCGTGTTTCATTCTGGTGGCCTGGCAGCTAAGCACCGAAAGGATGCTACAACGAAACGACTATTATTATTAATAATATCAGTAATATTATTATTATTACTTCCCTTATGGTCGGCCTTATGTTACTCATACAGTTTGAAGCGTCTTTTTCCGTCGTGCCATTGAATCAGGATGAAGCGAGTACTTGTTACAGGGCGGATTTAGCAAGCACTACCGTTGATGCCCTTTTCATCGAATTTCTTTTACTGAGTAATTGTCTATTGATCTATTTGTGTCAGGTGCATCGAGTGTCTGCGATATAACCAGGCGCATCCGGAGAATCCAAAACTTGTGCCCTACAGGGATTCGAAACTTACTCGGTTATTTCAGAGCTTTTTCACTGGTCGTGGAAAGGCTTGCATGATAGTTAACGTTTCACCGCATCCTGAATTATTTGACGAAACTTTGCATGCCTTGCGATTCTCTGCTTTGGCCACTCGAATCATCGTTCAGCCCAATGCCGTGGTCGATACCACCATTGTACAACCGAAAGCAGCTGACGATGGTGTACCAAAGCGACCATTCCATATGACACACCGCATACGTGTAAATGCTTCGGAAACATCCCAGTAAGTCCAACGGTCATCCCTCTATTAACTGATTATTTTGACACCGCCGTTTTGCGTTACTTTAATTAGATTCTTACAGTATCCCGGGGGAATGAAGATTGTTTCTTGATGTGTAAACCTCAAAGTCCTACACTCCCGTCGGGCATACTATGCTTAGAACATCCTACTTTTTGTGGAGATATGCGAACGTGAATATGTATGGTTTTGTCCATTGGTCTTCCAAAGAACTCATGATCGTTGCGTTCCAGTGAAGCAAAGTTGGTCGTTCTGCTACTTGAAGCGACAAGAATAAATGATATGCTTCTACGGGGACTTCGTACAAATTTTAACTGCTGGAGGTTGCAAGACCCATTGTTCTTGTCTCCCTTACAATCCGTGAACAAAATGAGGATCTCCGAATGTATTACTATTGGCCCGGGTTCTTCAACAGTGTGGTTTTATGTGATAGTAGTCAACACCATTGACTGTTATCGTAAGACGTGATCAATCTGTCTTCTAGAAATGGCGCAAACTGGAATTTGATATTCAGCAGTCGTGCTTAGTATTATTTCTGCATGGGGCTACTCAGCTACTGTCGTCGAATAATTTAGCCTCACGGTACTGTTTGCTTTCCTCCGCGTCCCGCTATCTGCCCCCCCCTTGGCCACGGACTGGAAAGCGATTTGTTTTCAACCTTTCGGCAACGGGTGGCAGTGTGATTGACTCGCACAGGATATGGCTCCACTCATCCTTCAATCAGGAAATCCACATCACGTGGTCACCTGTTGACTGGCTCAGGTACAAGCTTCGAAACTGTCTATTAGAGTCTCGTGAGATGGACACTGCTAATGAGGATGAGACAACTGCACAGTAGTTCTCGGTTTCACAGCATAGATCGGGTTCACTTACAAATCGAAATCTCCACTGAACATATAGTTCATTTCCTACGCTTCTACTGTACTGTCATTTCCCACATTCAAACAGACTATTGGTATCCTGCTACACGGGCAACTGTTAACTACTGACGGTAGTGTGATACGGTAGCAGAAATAAACCTCCGACAGACAAGCAATCAATTATTGGAAGCATGTTTTATAACTAGACTCGATGTGTTGAGCTGAGGGACAACCGCATCCTCCGACCGGATATGTGTTCGTTATTTCATCATATACGTTTGATTTTGAAGGCACTCTGGTCTTACTGCATAGTTTTTTAACTGTTCGTGGAAGATAGCAGGAATCCGATGGTCGATGGTTAGCGATGGTCACAGGTAACTTAACACTGGCGTTAGCACTCTGGAATGTTCCGTGTGTTAAGACGGGAAGTTGCAACACACATTAGAACAGGCTAGCAGTCGAACCAGCTTCGGCTACACTGGGGATCCGTATTACTGATAAACGGGTCCCAGAATTACTCGCATGACGTATTGTGCACAGATTTGGTTCGCATGATGGTAATTGAAGTTCGCCTACTTACTTGACGAGTTTGAGTAGTCTGTTCTACGGAGATCAAGTTTGGGTCTACATGTATCACTAGTGTCGGTTGTTCTAGCGGAGCTCGTTCACTTGGGGTCTTCATAGAAGTGCGACATCTGCGGAATACGTGGCTTGTGTGTTTGAGTACGATCCAGCTAATCCATATCGTCCATTTTGCTGATGAGGATGCCTGGTGTAAACAGCTAGCTTGTACAAGGCCGATAGGGAAACCAGAATGACGAGCCATCATACCAAGCCGGGAGTTGCCGTACACACACGTCAGTCTATTCGAACAAAGCCAAATAATAGAGAGAAGAAAATAAACTGGAGAGTGATGGGGACCTAAGTCTAGCCTATCATGAACACTCGGGATGCCTACATCTCCAACGCTTAGTTCAGTGAGGCGTGAACTTACTGACAGAGAGTCCTATTCGACCCCAACTCGGGATGCCTACATCCCCAACGCTTAGTTCAGTGAGGCGTGAACTTACTGACAGGGAGTCCTATTTCGACCCCAACCACTCTCTCTCTCTCTCTCCTTCTCGACTACTGCTAAGGCTTAGGCAACCTGGCAGTATCTCGGTACCCGTACTTCCCGTGAGTGGTATGGCAGATAGGAAACGAAAGTTTGTTGTAGCTGAACGGAACAAACTGTCCGAGGGGATGTAGAGCTATAAGCTATTTTGGTAGTGCTGATCACCGCACGTGGCTTAGTTTTGTGAGGTTGATAAACTGTACTCTTCAAGTACACGCTTGAGGTTTCAATCACTTGTTCTGTTTGTCGATTTTTCCTTTTATTTTTAGGTCAATTCAGGAAACTCCACCTACTGTCGTTCCTCAAAGGATCCGTCCTGATGTTATCCCTCACATATCGTCCACACAGCTTGAAGGTTCGGTTGCGCGAACAAAATCCGTGAGTGGTTTGTTTGACGATGGGCAGCAAGAGGAAACGACGCTATCTGCCGCTGATGCTGCCTCGCCTCATACACCAATGAACACCGACGGGACCGAGCTAATCTTGGATGACTACACGAAAGACGTCAGTGCAGCGGATTTTAACATTTACCTTGTTGCTAATTGGTACTGCAGTTGTTACGTACATTCAGCGGCGGTGTTGAACGTGTTATTTGACTTACCTACGTTAAAGGGTTCATCCTTGGGGATGTACGGCAGTGAAACACCTTTGTTTTACACCACTGTTACTGCCAATGATTCTGATGATCCTTCTATGTAGCGGTTTGAAACTAATCCCAGGGCCGCGGTTTTTATATTATTTGTCATCTTTTGGTGGCCAGTCGGTCTGCTTTTCTGCCACAGTTTTCTTCTGACGATAACTGAAAAGCAGATATCCCTATCTATCTATTTACGGTGCTGAACTGAGTTAAATGTATTTCGACACGGTAAACAGTGTTTATTCGTTGTCAGCGTGCACTCTGACAGACGGCAGCTCAGAATAGCATATAATATCTGTCGAGACCCTGTGGGATACTTCTGTCAGCAGATGGCACGAACTCGCTTCTGGTGGGTGTATGAATACCTATGCCGGCTAGCTATCTGCGTAAGTCACTGATTTGGTCTCTTGAATCCGTATTGACGCTCACGATTCAGATAACTCAAAGCAACTTATTCGGTTATGATCTGAACATCATTTGTTTCTACACGTTTTGAACGCAGCGCTGGCTGCGTTCGCAATTCCCTTGTTTACTCAAACAGTTTTATAGTTAGTACCATTAAGTTATCATGGGTACTACCATTTCCTATCCTCGGTGTCCATAAATCCGGTCCCATCTTTTAATGACAAATTACTCAGGTCTTCACACCTCAAGGTCCTCGCTTGGCGAGTGTCTTTGACGGTTGTTTTCAGTTGAAATCCAGTGTGAAGTATCGGTTTGCTTCCTGCAGCTATGAGAACTGTGTTATAGATAATCTGGCAACCGTACTACATAATACTTGGCTTGATTTGTTTTGACCGATTTTCGGCAGATTGTCCCGCTGCGGATGTGATTTCGACGCCCCAAGAAGCCCATACCATCATTCTAGTAGCCTTATCTTTCAGATTACCTCTGGTATTATCCTAAGCAGGTTGATCCATCACTGAGAGGGCCAGGTTCCCGAGATTAAAGCTGTTCTCCCACCTGGCTGTGGTCGCTCCTGTAATATCTCAGCCTTGTAGCTGGTGTTGAACTGAAACATTCCTTCCAATGACCATTTTCCTTGAATTAGAAGCTACTTTTGACTTGGTCTTCCATCGGAGACCATGGAAGTGTTTGGCGAATAAAGATATCCCTTTTAAATTCGTATCTCATAAAAACTGAGTACGCCCTCTCTGTACTCTGTACCGTAGTTCGGTTACTGTATGTTCGACTATAAGTGCCTCCAAGGCACTTGTTGCCCTGGTGAGGAAATCGGACCAGTGATGCCTAGGTACGTCAGATAATTTTCGAGGATATTAATGCTCTTTCGGTAACCGAACTTGTCACACTGCATGTGCTGTGCCTGTCAGGCCAGGGTCCTCTCCGCCCAGCCACGTTTCACGTGGAGGCAGCCTTTGTTCTTTGAGTCCATGACGTAGTAACGAAGAGCGAAACTCCTACTAGTCGCCTCAACCACGTTGACAACTACAGTCCCACCATATGGAACCCCTGGACGGTAAGCATGGATGATCAGTGACGCCGACAAATTCGCCCCCTCACGGCGTCACTGGGGATCCAGCATCGGGTCTGTTACCTTTATTGCATGGTTGTCACCTCACAGTATATCAGATACATAGGTCTTTGATGACTCCCTTCCACGAAGTGATCAGACCACTAGCCCCAAAGCGCATCCGTCGTAGTCTCAATCTCTCTACTTTTAGTGAACGAAACTGTATCATCTGAAACCACCAGAGCCAGTATACGCTGAACGTTAGTTCAAATAATGGATTGTCCGGTACGCTGGCTGACATAGTGGGATTTTCTCATCATAACGATGATTTTCCGTACAGTGACTTACTTATCTTTCACTTCTATTTCAGGAGCTGATATTCATGGTTAAAGAGCTTTCTGAGCAGCTGTTTGAGGCGAAAGGGGAGCTAGTTGAACAGGAGGCGCGCCTGCGTCACGAGATGTGCGAGGCCATGAACAGGCAGTTAATTGAATTTGAACGCGTCTACGAGTAAGTCTCGCCTTGATGTGCACAGTGCTATTGAAGTACCGTATTCACAATGAACTGACGATCCTTCCGTGGGATTTTGCAGAACCAATATCGTATTAAGCATGAAACGATTCCGTGGGAATAAAAATCCTATCACCAATGGTTACGTGAAGCGACTGTACGAAGCTTTGGAGTACAAACTCCAACTCATTCTCTCATGAACCACAGCCCTCAGCCTGTTATAACAGTCAAACGGAAGTAAGTTATTGGAGGAGTCACGGTAAGAGCACATTGTGCACTGAATATGGGTTAACAAGATCCTGAACCCTTTACCGAGTTCTGCCATCTTGTCGTTCAATACATCAAAATCCACCAAATTTTATGTCCACCTGTAGGTGGATATGACCGGCAGAGTAGGTTGTGAGGATCCTGGCTATCGGGTAAGAATCTGTGAATGAAATTGCGGCAGGCTTCTTATTGCCTACTAGCTGAACTGCTGAATAATTTACAGTTCAGGCTCTTGTATCTAGAGCCAAATTTTAGTGACCTTACTTCAAGGGGCTAATGTCTCTCAAGAAGACAGGGTACATAACGAGCGAGCATTATATTTGGTGGGAAAAGGTAAATCTTGCCGATTCAAATGAACAGATAATGTTCTTAGCATGAAATAGCTAAACACCAGCTGCCGGAATTCTTCAACAGCTATTTGTGTATGGGCTGGATCTGAGGTACATCACATCAGTAATTCCTGGGTAACATTTTCTTATCATGACCGACTGCAAGCTGTCAACGAGGTCCTTGTTTTGGGTCTTGCCTCACTTGAGGAAAGAATCATCATGGCGTTTTGAAATACTGCCAAAGGGTAAAGTTTCTTTCACCCCGCTTCGTAAATCCGTGTGAGCTCCTGAACCATGATGGTTCCAACCGACCACAGACAGACTGGAATATTCCGTCGCTTAACTTCGTTCTTGCACGGATCTATCCTTGTGGCATCTGGATCAGGTCTACTTTTTGTATGCATACTGGTTCCGGATCCCTTTATTCTTGAGGATCATGTCTTTGAGAAGGACACACTGCGTGCTGCTCATTCAGTTGATTGCTTATGGACAGAGGTGTGTGAACAATGTGGGGCCCATTTCTGAGTATCCACCCAGTAGTCTTCACTCCTCCCTTTCTTATTCGACTGTGTGATAGTCGGGTATTGTTTCATAACGGCTGCGGAAAGACAAACAGTTTTATTCCTTCGGGCGTAAAGCAGCACACTTCGAGGTGTTGATCTTCCTCTTGGCTGTGTCACTTGTGTTGGACTATATGGCGCAATTTTCTCGCGCTACATACTGACGTTCCCGTGTTTCTTGATGTCAATAAACTCATATTCGTTTGGCTGAAAAACTCTGTGGTACCTGATTGCCTTACATGTATCCTTAAATGGCCATATGTCATAGGTCTGCGACCAATGTTTGTTAGCGTCGACGTAACCAGAGCAACAAAATCTACTGTAGACTAGCAAATTCTTCTGATGACGAATGTTTGTGAGCTCTAGATGTGCTGGTCGCGGCAGAGATCATTGACAAAGTGCTCACATCCTTCTTCTTACCCTACTCTATTTCAAATCCCACACCCACCAACTTAAGACTTGAGATTTGGATACTCGAACGATGTCCTTCCTTTCCAAATCCTCACCTCAAATCAGGTTACATTTCCAGGGTTTTGTTTTCAACAATGCCTAGCTAGATCCTGGTATTTTTATTCTTTCAGTCCCTTTGCTGATTTTTTGGTCACTTTGTAACAAAACTTCACCACGTGATTTTTCGTTTTCACGATTTCATCTCAGTTTACTCACGGTTTTGTAGTGCCTTTGTTTGTAATCACCCTTTAAATAATTCATTCCATATAGAGAGGGACTAAATGCACAAGAAAAAGTTGTGATCGAGCAGTCCAACAGACGCCTGGAACAGATTGCTCTGAGACATACCGGTTTTTGTAATAAAGGACGAAAGCGCCTCCATCGGGACGACTCTACTGCCAGCAACGATGACAGCTCTTCCTTTGAGGAGTACGAATCGGTCATGGAAGAACGGACCAATGGGGACAATCTTTGCATCGAGTCATCCGCTGAAATTAAACCGACAGGTATGGCTTCTCTGAAGGAGACAAGCTTAGCTTGTTACTGTACTTATCTTACTTTTCCGCAGCTGAAGACAACTCATTGGGACAATAAAAAATTTGCCTGTGGGTTTCAGCCTTACTAGATCTTCTTCATTTTTGTATGCGGTATACTATTGTCTAAGGTACGATACCCTGTAAAATTCTGAAGGTGAATCCCTATATGTAATGTTAGTTAATCTAGGCTGTCCAACTGTCAGCAACAAAGAAACACGAGGACTAAGACACCGACAAGCCGTTTGAGTATAGATGAGAACCGTGGAAAATTGAACCGCAGTTTCGAACCAAAACCTCTCTCATTAGGCTGCCTCTGACCTCCGAGCAGTCTAAAGCTCGTTACTCACGTGCTAGTTTATTCAATGTAATCAAAGCCACTCATAGTTTGTATGCCGTATTTATGTTTGAATTTCAACGGTTGCTTAGTTTGTGGCTTCATAACTTTACAGATAGTCAGGAAAGCCAAACCAATGGATTACAAGAACGCCTTAGCGAGCTGGAGGGTGAACTCGCTGATCAACGTGATGTTATCGAAAATCTCTCAAGGGAACGGGACCAACTACGAATGGAGGTTACTCGGTTGGAGTTTGCCTGCTCGCAGTTGGTAATTATTTTTCAAGTTTCCTCACTTTTGTCCCATATGTGTATGAGATCGAAACTGGCGGCCCAGGACACGACCTCATCGTTTGACAGACGTGGGGCGATCCATATTTGTAGGACCCTCTTGTATTCACAGCTATCTATACCTTTTTATCGAAAAACACCTCGGTTAACACTTTTAAGAGCACAGTACAGCAGGATGCAGCTGAATGTTACCAGGCGTTTGCTTATTTAATGCACCACGACTCAGTCAATGGTCACGTGAATTCGAGTGGGATCCAGTAAGCGGTTTACTCATACCTGACTGTCAATTTATAAGTTAGTCCAAAATCAGTACTTTTACCACCTATCGTTAACCATTAACAGACCAAGCAATATCCTCTTCCTGCGGAGGTAAAAGGTCGTTTCGGCTGGTAGAGATGGAACTACATGACTGGGTTGCCGGGTAACTAGTGATTACTGGTTCACACGTAGTGGTTTATACCTAGCACTTCATGGTATTCGCTTTGAATCGGCGTGTGCCCACTGTGCGTTACTATTCTTGTAAACCATACAAATTCAGCGTTTTTTTCAATCTCAGGCCGTTTGCTTTTCGAATGTAATAGCTTCGGTTAAGGTGAGACGAATTAGTTGTGAATTCCAAATGTGATTCTGAAATTGTGTAGCCTCTTCTGCTGTTTGGGGTATCGACTGAGTAATGGTGTTGAGGTGATTGCTCTTACTGTACAAACGGGGACTGTTCATGACCCCCCTACCGACTTTCCATCTCTGGTTTTTGATAACGAAACTAAACATGCTGCACCACAGGGTAGAGGACAAGCTTACGGGGTAAATTCAATACACGTCCCTTCCAGAGTCCTAATCACTTTACTTGTCTATTTTCCTCTAACTCATACTGGCGAATCTACTGAAATCGGCTAGCATCAGGTTCATTCAATTATGCAGATTTGTCGTTTTACTACGACAACTTCGTATCCGTTGGCATTATTTGGCACCCGACCTTCGAAACTGCTATAGTTGTTGGGATCGATGGCACCACCTCCGTGACTTACGTGCATGTCACCACATCCGACAGTGGAGCACTGCAGAGCGACATGTGGGCGTAATTAACAAAGCTGTAACAGCAACAAGTATCCTTTACTTTTCACCGTCTTTTAGATCCTTATTTTCAACTGTTGGTCACTCGTTTTATCCACTCACCACCTGGACAGGATATACCAACTTCTGAAAGTGCTTACGCCTACTAAAACGCGTTATGTGGGAATGGAACCGCGTGTCCATCGTTAGCAGGATACCTGCTTGTGAATGACAGCTGTGCGTGCGTCGTGTCAGTTGTGTAAACTAGGCATTTCTGGGCTGGTTGCTAACTTACTATTGATTGCTTCGTATGCACATCTACTTGTGGAGGCGTATGGAAGTATTTCTTTCTAAGTATGAGTGGCCTGGCGTGACCGCAGTGGGATACTTCTGATTTGATCTGACTAGGTTCACTTTTATTCAGCTTATTTTTTCCTTTCACACACCTTACTCCTTAAAGTCACTTGTTTTGCTCCATTTCCCTTCCAACTCAAGCAGGTTCAACTGGAAAGCGAACAGACAGGAAAACAGAAGAAAAAATATGTGGACTCCAGTTCACAAACAGATGAGGTAAGAACAATGCATGTATACACTGAGTCCTCAGGTTTTTCCCTCCAATGAAGAACTTTATAAGCGACAACTTCGTTCCGCTTTCATCCCAGTCTGATTGATTCGCAAAATATTGTGGGAGTTCAATGGCGATTGACCTGGTTATCCTAGTCATCCCTTGATATCAGCTGTATTGTTGATTCATCTGTAACTGCCTAGTTTCTTAGGTTAGCTCGTCGTAAGAAATTAGATGTTCCGGTAAAGGTAGAGGCCGTTCCGGATAGTCAAAAAGATATCACAGGTCAATTATCAAATGATCAAACTATTAAAGGTAACGAGGGGTCAGATTGCAGTAGTTTCGGAAAAAATATGATCGCTTTCCCGGGCCACATGTAAGTTGGGTAACACAGCCCTCACATCATTAGCAGTCGGCTGTGAGGCCTTAATAGCGTAATTTAAGTTTATACGTGGTGCATATTCTTAGCCCACGACCGGTTTCGCCCTTCTTCGAGCTCATCAGGTAGGCGCAGTCCCCGAGTTTCCGTTCTACTTGAGACCAAATTGCACGAAATTAGCAAAATACACTGATCAAGATGCCCCTTGATTGCAGTGATCGCGACCAGTTCGAAGTTTCTTGCCATGGGCTGGAGGAATTACCATGGCCCTGTTCTTCAGAGTGACGTAAGGCTACCTTGACTAGTATAGCCCGCTGACTTTCAGTGGAGCGAGACATGAATTATTCGAGATATATTGGAACCAGAGTCCCAGTGGTCGTTTACCGTTATGCTACATGTGCAATATTCAGTCGCACCGTCCAATATAATTGGATTCTTCCAGCCACTAAAACCACCTAATGCAATATAGTACCTGATAACTACAAACCGTTGTATCAAGTCTTGCTTAATTCTACTGTGACTCGAATCACTAATGCTACTTCCAGACTGGCTATCAAAGATGCGTCTTCATGAGAAACAGACTTGATTATCCTGATAATCCAAGCATGCGAAAATAATGAGATGCTGAAAATTCAGACAAGTTTCACGCAACGTAGTATCCCAACAATGCAATCCATCTGTATACAGGAATATGATATGGAAGTCCGTTCTACCGTTGGTTTTAGTTCAACCATCGTTCTTTATGTCGTAGGTATGTGAGGGTGACCAGCCCAATGGTTGGGCTGATTCCAAAACTGTGTGGCATTTAGTTCACGTAATGAGGTCTTTTTCTCCCTTGTTGTATGCCACGCGCGAGCCTTATGTTTCGGAGTGGCCAACCTGTAGTGCAAGTGGATATAGCTTTTTTATATAATAAAACCAGCCACATATTTGACTTATGGGGTGTTCAATCGTCACATCAAATAGGAGTTTGCTCGTTTGGTCACTCCTCTGGAATGAGTCACCTTAACCAGGCCCCACATATGATCCCTCATCAGTAATGCCGGAAATTTCACTCTTTCTCCTGGAACGTAATATTCCTCGCTCATCTCAAACCTGTTTTTCTCGTATTTGCAATACACCACAGACTACCCATGACTTGCTGTCCACACCGCTGACCGTCATCAAGGCGTCTCATTCGGGAAAGGTTGATGTGCAGCACAGCATTTTCGAAGATTCGGAAGTAATAGTTCATCTGCCCAAGACTAAAGACGCCGGACGAAAATTCTTTGATTCCTCCGTTAGTCCAGAACAACAGCAACGCCTTCTTCCGGTGAGCCTTGCCATAATCACAGTTCAATTACCTCATTGGTAATGGTTACTGTTAGGAGCTGGGTGTAAAATATTCATACTACAGCACTCTTAGATGAACCATCTTTTTCTCTGTTTCATGGCTTGGATAATTCACTATAAAATGTGGATTGGTTTTTCGAACGGTCATTGCACAATCTGCACTGGTCATGGATATGGTGCACCTTCAGTCCTCAGAATCTGTTTTTGAGTGATTTTAGCGGATGCTGACTAGACGGTTTACTAACCGGCTTTCAATTGTACTTTAGATGCTCCATTTGAGGAATGTATTCAACACTGCTCGGCTCGGTGAATCACCTTGCACAGAGCAGTTATTCTGCATGCCGAATCGGTACAAGGAATGTACAACCAACTGGTGGCTTGGAAAACATTTAAAGATACTGATACCGATTCTTCGTGTCATTTCGCCTGGGCACGGTGGGAACTATCTTTGCCATCCGATGTTGCCAGTTGTCTTGGTGTGCCGAGACAGACAGCTTCCATTCTGCGGTTCTTAGGAGTGAGACACTAATGTCGTACTCTCTCCGCCCTCTGGTTAGGCCGACTTCCTGTAGCCGAGTTGATCACGCTACTGAATCATCGACTCCAGAAAGGATTCGCAAAGGAAACCCTGCTGCCCGCTACATAGTGGGCCAGACTTCTGTGTCAGAGGCTAGGGGCAGGGTCCCCGAACAAAGCCATACATCCTCCCACTTCCTTGCGGTTCAGACTTTTGGGTCAAAGATTCAAGATGGGGTTCCTCAACCAAAACCTTTCCTCGGCCTGGGCAACCGAGAAGTACCACTTGCCTGCACAGTTCGGTTTTCACCGATGTCACCCACTTCTTCTCAGTACACAAGCCAACGGCGCTGGGTCATTTGACTGCCAGTTATCTGACCGATGGGTCTGGTGGTCCCCGCTGCCTGCTGACAAACAAAATGACACCTAGCTAAATCCACGAGATCGTTTCTACGTCCGTGCACCATGTGAAATTGTCAAACAGGCAATACTCACTGAAGCCTTATACTGCATTAAAATTGATGTATGCTGGGTCTCGGAAACCCATAGTAGACGCAGAATCGATGGCTCGTGGAATGTATGGCGTGGGGGTCGCACTCTCACTCAGAGGAGAACGCGATTTGTTGTATTGGATTCCAGTGAACAGTCGTCTTCGCTCCGTTCGGGTATCCAGCTCAATCAAGCTCATTGCCTCTTGACATAAAAACGGTGCTTGTTCGTAGTGTCAGCGTGTGCTCCAACGGTTCGTAGTTCTGACGCTGAGAAGAGTACTTCCTATGGACAACTATCCGGGCTTATTCGTCGAGCAAGAAGCACTGACACTGTGATCCCTGCAGATAATATAAATGCCCGATTCAGTCGTATGAGCTAATTGGAATCACATTTTGGCGGTCGATTCGGAGTCCATGCTCGTCGCACAGACAAAGGAGAGCGACTTTCTCAGTTGTGTGCTGATCACGAAACTATCTGGCTATTACGAGCTTTCAGCATAAACGTTCGCATCGGGTAACCTGGCGGCCACAGGCTGCGAAACTGCCGTGGATACAGTTGAATCATGTGGCCACCGGTGGAGAGCCACAATACAAGAATGCCGTTCGTTCTGGGGTACACAACCTGATTTCGATCACCCAGTGGTGTGAGCATGTATAACAATTCGTTTCCCCACAGGCTCTCGCGATTCAGCAAGAAACATGCCAATCCACCATCTTCGAAGAACTATCATAGCTTAACAGTATCGGTCTGAGATAGCTCAACAACTCTCTACAGTAAACCAATACTGCACTGCAAAATGTGAAGGGAGCTATGCTAGCGGCGTTCAGTGCCATCTGGTATCGAAGGTATTCTCTGGTTTTATCCTTCGAAGGTTGGCTGAACACAAGAGAGACAGATCCATGAAAAACAAGTTGGGTTCGGTCCTTCAAGTGGATGCATCGATCATATTTTCAACCTCAAACAGATTCTGGTAGAGCGATATGTTTCCAGCACCAAACAACGGTTGTCTTTGACTTGAAAACTGCATTTGGCTCTGTGGACCGTAAAGGCATCATGGCAGTGTCTGTAGAGCAAATGTGTTCCCAATAAATTCTTGAACCTTCTTACGGTGCTGTTCGCCGACTCTGGATGCGTGAAGGTCAATGGGAAGTTTTTACTAACATCAAATGGTGTCAAGCAAGCCAGTCCTCTTCCACCATCCCTCTTCAAACTTGTCATTGATACGCTAATGGGAGACCAACTACCCTAATGCCCCCAGTGCCTGTGGGGTCAAAGTGCTCCCGAAGCGTTCGCTCATAGGTATGGAGTACGCAAACGATGTAGCTCTTTTCTCGTCTGACGCCATTGTAGTACAATGGTAAGTAATTTTAATAATTCTGCCTCACGTGGCAAAATATTGGTAGCTCGGATGAGCTTATTGGTTGTTGATCAGATGGCTGTTGATCTGTTCGCCAAGCTTGGCAATTGGCTTGCAAACGTTTCGTCACCATACGAGGAGACATCATCAGTGCGCAGTTGGGTGGGTACTTCTTCCTTGCCTGCGTGTGTTTATATAGCAGTCAAAGGCCATCTGTTATCTTCTGACGTGATTGGCTACCTGAAGTGTAACGAGTCTAGTGAACCTATTGGTCCGTTTGTGATCCTTGTTGCGTTGTGGTCTGTGTTCCTTTGTGTTGATTGGTTATCCCAACGGCTTCTAATTTTAGTAGCTTGTTCTCTCTGGCCTTGATTCGCATTGCGTTGTGGTCTGCCGTTCTCGAGTTTGATTGGTTGCTTGTACCGCCCTATTTCCTCCACCGTGGCGGTTAATGTCCCTGCGTCCGCCGGTTGATTTGGTGCTTTGATTGGGCGCCTCCTCCAATCCAATTGATGTGTCCGTTTGAATGACGCTTTCTTGCTTCTTGTATGGGTTCCTCGTATGGTCGCTTTCGCGGCTCTAAGTTCTGTGGTTTTGGCGTTCTCTCGCTCTTAGTGGCTGGTAAATGGGATCAATTTCAATGTGTTTGTTGATGG